ATGGTACCGTAGCGGCTCGTATAACGCGTGTCGCACCGAATCCAATGCCGGTATCGTATTGCGCCAGGGGGAATCGTGCTACAAAATTTACACTCATTATTACAACATCATTATAACATATATGTATGCTTTTGAAAATCACATGATTGTCTTTTAAGTTAGCATCAGACATCTCTGCATCTGGAAACTACGCCCTAGATCAACTCAGTTTAACGTATTTCTTCGTATGCGTGGCAGTCACTATACATATAAATTTAAAGGGGCTGTGGCCGGAAGTTACGAGTCTGGAACATCGCATACGACTTAATGGATCGAAACAAATACCTATTCCATTTCACATTATTTGCATTTATTGCATCACTTTCCTTGGCAATAAATATTTCTTCATTATTTTTTATTATCTTTATACTTTTTATTATTCCTCGTTCACTTTCTCTCTTTATATTTTTCATTACTTCTCATTCACTCTTTAGGTAATTGATATTAACATATTAATTGATATTAACGTTGTATCTTCGTTCTCTCCGATTTTCTTTTTTTATTACTAATATTACCATATTTTGTCCTTTTAAGTAAATATTATTTAGCAAATGCTGACATATTACTTTCTTATCTCCGAAGCTTGAGATCAAACCATACTATGATCACACAAATGATCAGTGAAATTACGTCAAGTGAAGCTATGACTGAAAATATCTGAGTTCTAAAACAAGGATTTCGGTCGAAATCCATAAATCTCGAGCAAAATTTCTTGATTTTTTGAAAATGATCTCAAACGCACCTCAAATAAAGCAATAGCGACGGCAGCAAGGAGAAGCCAGAATAAAAGCAGTGAAAAGAATATTTTGGCAGTTGACGCGGCGACTGTTGTGGTACGGCGAATTGCAACTGGTCCTGCTTTCTGACCGGTGGTCACTGCCGTTGCTGTCTGGTCACTTGTGCTTGGGATATCGGGCTCGTGTTTTTTAAGTTGTTCGTTACGCTCAGCACCAGCAGCAGCTACACCCTTTGCCAGGATCATTGGGCCAGTTGTCTCGGGACTTCCAGCCGGTGTGCTGGAGCACAGAGGCATCATCGTTTCCAGTTCTTCCAGTCGATCTTTCCCAGTGAACGGT